GGGCTATCGGCGTGTTAATGCTAACGTTTCGTAAATGTAAAGGTTCACGAAATGGATTAGTAATGAATCACAACATGGCGATAATCCGCAAATCCTTTGGTATCGCTAATATATATATATATATATATATATATATATATATATATATATATATATATATATATATATATATATATATATATATATATATTAGCGTTACCAAAGGATTTGCGGATTATCGCCATGTTGTGATTCATTACTAATCCATTTCGTGAACCTTTACATTTACGAAACGTTAGCATTAACACGCCGATAGCTCACAAACCTTTCAGCACCATTTTTTAAGAATATTTTTCTCTAACATTGAATCAGTAGTTGATAGTTTTAAGTCTTATTAGTGAAGTTGACTGTTGAGGACTATCAGCTACTGACTTATTCAGAATCAGTATAAATGTTCAGTATATTTGTTTAGAATGTATATGAACTTGCGATGTGTTAACCCAAGTGTTGATCAATGCAGAAATGTGTTGATTCACCTGGGTTGCAGTGTGAGAGCTGTCTTTAATGCAGTATGTTCTCAATACTGCCATATCGAAAAACAATACTGTGCGCTGCTTGTGCAGAATGCATAGAAACGCGGTATATTCCATAAACTCTTTGGAGCCCATTGGGCGGTAACCATTGAGACAAACCATACCTAGTACAGTCTCTTCAAGATAAGCATATTTTTTTAATTTTACATTTTATAAATACTAAGTGATATAAACTAATAAACAATAAGTGATATTTGAACAGTATGTATATAACACAGCTAAAGAATGTAAATGTGTTATTTTAGGTCTAGATTTGTGTTTAGTATTTTATAGTGAATTATAGTAAATTTATGTATATCTAATTTTATCAACGTAAAAATCACTACGTGATTTAATTCTTTTTTTAGGTCTTCAAACGATATTAAATTGAAAATGAGATAGTAAAAATTAAATTGATAGCATTAAGATTTGAGCATAAAGATAACCGTAACTAAATCATGGAACGTAAGTTCAAAGTTGTAGACCAAAACATGCGTTGATTTATGACAACAACTCGTGTTTCATGATTCATTTACCATCTTCGTGCTGAAGCTCTTAGCCTAATATTTCATTTGTCATACAACAAATTTTTTTAAGTGTATTGGAGCTGGAAACACAATGAAAAGCATAGACAATAGGAACAGGGAATAAGAGATTTCAACCTATCAGAAAGTATCTATTCTAGTATATATGGTTTCTGATTAAAATTTTATTTTGGTTTAGATTAAAATTTGTTATTTCCTGTTCTTATTCCTGTGCTTTTCATTGGCTGCAGAACGGAGAAATCCGAGAACCTCTATCCTGCAGCTAATCAAATAGACTTTACAAGCCTTGTCATACAACACATGAAATGTTGGCTTTATTCATAACATCACTATTGTTTTCATTACTTTTTTTATCTAGAACGATAATGTTAATGAATTCAGTCATTACTTTTTATTATTATAATTTATAACCTTTATTATCTTTATAATTACTTAATAGATTGCATTATTTTTAATTGGCTAAAAACATTTTATAATAGAAATTTAAATATTAAAACATGTTTTGTAGTTTATTTCTTAGGCATAATATTAATATTCTGAATTACTGCCAATGCTGAAAATCTGTATATATGTATATATAACGTTAACTATAAATTTTTAATATTGACAGTAAATATTGTAATATTTACATAACAATAATGTATTACTTTTATGAAATTCTCAACCCTATTAATAAACATTTTAAAATATTAAAGAATTTATTACAGAAAATAAATTTCAATTTTTTTTACAGAGGTGAATAAGAAGGAGATTGTGGAAGCTGTTACTATCCTCGAAACTCCACCGATGATTGTTGTTGGTCTTGTTGGATACATTGAAACGCCACATGGACTTAGAGCGCTTGCCACTGTCTGGGCGGAACATTTGTCAGAAGATTGCCGCAGACGTTTCTACAAGAACTGGTTAGTAGAAATTATTTAAAATATTTAAAATGATTGTTTATTTTGATTTCAAAAATTGTACGAATTGCGACGTGTTAACTTGGATGTTGATCAGTGCGGAAACGCATTGATCCATCTGGGTTGCAGTGCGAGAGCTGTTTTCAATGCAGTAAGTTCTCAAGACTGCCATGTCGAAAAAAAACACTGTGCTCTGCTTCTGCAGAATGCATGGAAATAAGGTATATTCCATAGACTTTTTGGAGCCTATTAGGCAGTGACCATTGAGACAAACCATGCCTGGTACAGTTCTCTATATACTTCTCCTAATTTTCGTTATACAACTATACCATTATTTTACATACACAGTACTAAAATTATCGCATCAGCTCTCCGCTCACACGATGAGAGTAATCATTTGGATGTGGCCATTAAAGTTTGGTTTTTAATATGGCTAGTCCAAGAAATGTGTTCAGTCTCCACTCATTACGATGAGACTGACACGTTGCAGAGATATCTAGGTGGTGTATGCAAGACACATGCATAGATGGACATTGCAATTGATTTTCCGACAGGTATAAGAGCAAGAAGAAGGCATTTACGAAAGCGTCGAAGAAATGGCAAGATGACCTCGGCCGCAAGTCCATCGAGGCTGATCTCAAGAAGATCAAGAAGTATTGTAGTGTCGTTCGCATCATCGCTCATACTCAGGTAACTGAATTGTGCGATGATATTAAAATATTAGATATTAGATTTGTGATGATAACATTGTTATACAGTTTTTGTTTCTTACCAACTTAATGGTGATTCTTGTATATTTTTTAGCTACTGAAAAAGAATATAAGATTAAGAAAGTTCCATCGGCCGTAGATTTTGAAAATAAATTTTTTTTTAAGTATAAAAGGATTTATTACTTACAAGTTATTTTCTGTGGTTGAACTAGTATATATACACTTTGGAAACACTTTTTTAAAGTGAGATAGAATAGATATATGTTTGATATTTGATGAAAGCAAGAAAGGAGGAGGAATTCTAGTATAATGAAGGAATAAAAAAAACAGATGTCTTGTTAAAAAATAAATAAATGATCAAAATTGGACTGTGTAATTTATTCTTTTCATTGTCTCCTAGATGAAACTGCTGAGGCAACGTCAAAAGAAAGCGCATATCATGGAAATCCAATTGAACGGCGGCACCATTGAAGATAAGGTGCAATGGGCGCGCGAACATTTAGAAAAACCTGTGCCTATTAGTAGCGTG